GGAGAGGTGTGAATGTGTGCATGGGGAGACAGACTGAATGGGGCTCGTTTGCACCACAAAACAATAGAGACAATAGACTGAATAGATGACTTAGAAGATTACTTAACATCAGCTTGCATTTTAGAGTATAATCAAAATAAAGTAATTTGACATGATCTTGGAAAAACGTTTAACTAAATAAAGTTTTAGACTTATCATTTTAAGATTTTAAATATAAAATGGTCACACATATATGGCTTTAGCTGCAGTGCATTTCTAGATTGCTACAGGGCCAACTTCCATTTTATTTTCATGAAGATGTTTCATAAAAACAAATTTCTAATAGCTTTACAAAACTTTGAAGCCATTTATAATTGTTGTTTTTTTTCATTATGACTAATTAATTCTACATTTAAAATAAACGGCCAGGTGTCATTCAGATAACTGGTGTTTGTCATTGTCTAGCATCTATTCAGTCTATTGACTCTATTGTGTTGGGGTACAAACGAGCCCTATTAAGTGGTCAGTCTCCCCTGCACACATTAACACCTCTCCAGCCTGTTTATGGCTCTATATATGCTTTTCTTTTGTCTACATTATAATCACTAAAGGACTGGCTATTCACTGTTTCGAGCAGTCATTTCTTTTATCAAAGTTCTCACTTCACTATGAAACTGTATCAATTGACCTTTTTAGAAAAAAATAAATAAATAAATTAACATTTCAGTAAGCATTTATATTTAGAAAAAAAACAGATGGGGAGGCAGGTGCACCTAGAGCTAGCTAGCATATTAGCTTAGCACACCATCAATACACAAGAATTTATAATATTTGTTCCAAACTTACTTTATAACGCAAGTCGAGTGTTTTAAATAACCTTTTGTGATCTGATTTAGCTTCAGATAATAAAAAAAAAAATGATACAGAAAATATATAATTTTATAGTATTCATGACAATGATAAAGTCTATTTCGATTAGCATTACATTATGAATATAGCTATTATTTTGAATATACCTGACAGGGCTCGAAGAACACAGGTAAATCAAATATCATTGCAATCATGTTTATTGTCTTCAAACATCTTTATCTGCATGTTACAGCAATCTCTGTTAGCTTTGTTGGTCAGGCAGTGACTGGAATGTCACATGATTATGGCTCTTCTTCGTGTGTACCATATATGGACTATACGGTGCATAGGGTGCCCTCAGGCTGCTGGTATGGACTGAACACAGTACATCAGAGTATCCAGCGCTCAAAGATTACATGGACACATTTGGGTATAAATTCAATAAATATTATTCTTGTCTATAGAAATATGATGTAAACCTATGAGAATCTATCAATATTTTTCCAAATCTGCACATTGTGGAGCTAAAAGCCCTGAGGGACATCGTTTTGTCAAGCGCTGTCAAGACAACACAGGAGTTTTTTTTCTGAATGGGAGCGGCTGACGCTCATAATTCATATTAAAAGAATAGATTCATTTTTTAATTACATAACTCCTGACACAAATTAAGACAACTGTCACTATAAGTTTCTCGTAATACAATAGTGGACAAATACTGAAACTTGAGTCTTATATCTTTTTAAAGGTGCCATATGGGATAATTGAGGTAAAAACATCCAAAAAATGAACTACACACATCAAAAGAATGAGAAAAAATAAGTGCAATGATGTCATTTAAAACCTGACAAGTTATAGTGCTGCCGAGATATAAACCTAAATTAGCATGCTAAATTACTAGCCCCGGCCCGGCAGGTGTCGTAATACCAGTTTCGGCCATGGGAGGCGGTATGCGGGCGGGCAACGTTACCATCAGCCAAACTGATGTACACGAGTGAGTCGCGCTCGCGCCGGCTTGTGTGTACTTGAACCTGATGTCAGTCATGTGGAAATACAGCCCACTACTAAATTTCAGTTCAGGGATGAGTTAAAAAAAATGATTGGTCGACATTATGCATGAGGAATACATTTTGGTAAGTTGTAACATATCTTTCAACAGTGTTCTTGTTCTTTTACCATTAGCTAGTAGAGATGATCGGTTCACGTGCGCTAGGGATCTGTCGTCTAACATTTTTACAAGCGCCAAAACTGCATTTATTGTTTGAATTGCGTAATAAAATTGACAGAATCCGAGAGCTGAGATCGGTCTCTGTCCTTTTCTGTGCATGACAAAATTGATGTGGCATGAGAGTGTGTGAAAAGTTGTGTCTCACAGTGAATTTGTGAGAGTTGGCAGCTCTGAAACGCGCTAGCTTGGTCCACATCAGGGAATGCTGTCTGTCAAATTAATTCAAACTAATGATAAAAATGTAACATGAACAAAACGAATACCATAAACTAGAAATGCCTGGGGTTTAATTTTCCCATATCGTCGAAATGCACCGACTTGTCTATGAGACGGCCTTTATAATTTAGTATTGATATGTTGTTCATTTAGTCTCTAATCTCTGAAAATCTCCAAATGATCCACATGAAACTGCGGTCTTCCAACCTTTCACTATCGTGTCAATTGATTTGATTAAAATGCACGAGGGAGACAGAGCAACACAGCGCTCGCCCGTGTTGTTTGAAGACATGAGTGCGCGCAGCCGCGGAGGTATTTTTCTGGAGGTATACTGCCCCCATTTGGTATGGAATATGGGGTATGATTTGATTTTTTATCCCAGAGGGCACCTTTAATGATGTTTGTTAAGATAATAACTTTAAATATGATAGTAACTTTGAACTATAAAAAAAAAAAAAAAAAAAAAAAAAAACGCTTCAGTGTGCCAGCGCTCTGGCAACAATTAAGAGGTTAATATATTCTATTAAGAAAAAATACCAATTTATAGCAAAATGTCTGTAAATTGTTTTGAATTATCACTAGCCATCCCTTATTTTGTTCAATTATTTGAATGATCAAATACTGAGTAACAAAAATATTTGCATTGTGTTCCCTTTCTAACCAAATGCTATAGTTTGATTGTAATCATAATGCAAAACCTGATAATTATCAAAAAAAATGATAAAAAAATTAATTAGTTGTCTTTTATAATATCTAATTGTATATCTAAATAAATAAAAAACGAATAAGATGGAGAAATCATGTCTAAAACAACAACAGGAATCAAAAAGCCTTCCTATGTATTTATATAGGAAGCTATAGGCAGCCTACAGGCTGTACAGGACATTGCACACATGTAACTATTTTTTTAAAGCCACAAGGTGGCGCTCATCTACTTGAAGATTTTTTTTATTAAGCTGGCACTATTTTGATAAAAATAAACATAAAATAAAAAAAAATATATTAATTCTAATGGAAAAAATAGCTCTTAAAAATTATATAAGTAATGCAAAATATAAAAAACTCTGAAAATTCTTAATAATAATCAGAAAATATTATAGAACAAAAATATATTTGAACGGTTATCCTGGGGAAAAGTAAAGTTAAATTTTAAGGCTTCGTTTTTGACCGGGAGGAAGCTAAGTGTAATCCATTTACGAAGAAGCCCAGAGGGTTAAAGATGAACTGAAAAAAAAAAAAAAAAAAAAAAAAAAAAAAAAAGACGATGAAAACGTGTTTGACAATTAAAAGTAAATTACACTAAACATTTTAATAAAAAATATTAATATAGCTTTTTATAAGCAACGCAAAATTGCGCTTGTTAGCGCTGGCAATTTCGATGACGTCACTGGCATGGTAGGACCCGCGGAGCTCCATAAACAACAGCTGCAGTTCCCATATACACACTTTTAACGGCATGAATTACGCATTTGAGCCCGCGAGGGACAGGCCGGTAGTGTCTGACTACCACCACATGGAGGACGATCAGTTTTAGGCTTCACTTACAGTACAGGATTGTTTGGGGAGAAGTGACTGTGGGAGCGAGCACTGTGGAGTATGCATAATGCACAGGAGTCGATCTTTTGCAGAGAGGTCAACCTGGATCATATATTGATCGGCGAAAAAAGGAATCACCGTCGTGCACCGTTCATTTCGGATGCTGTTCGGTGAGAGAAACGTGTTGGAGGAGGCTATGCTGTCTCTAATGGATGTCCGAGCTGAGGCGCGAGCGCCCCATCAGTAGCAGGGTATTTTATGAATAGCAACTAGGCTGGGCTAACTTGTTATACTTTTCTCAGACTGTTTAGATTAACAGCGTACTGGCAGTTCACTCTATGTGCGAGGGTGCATTTAGAAAGGAGAATCCCATCCTTTACCGTGAACTATACATCAGGAATCTTTTCCCCTCAGCCGAATATCAAGGATTCGTGTAACGTTAACGTGATGTGTTGAACTTGTAACTTGTGTAAATAAAACATTTAATGCAGACATTGTCAGACGTTTCATGTACTCATTGACGAAAGTACATATCTCTAGATAGTGTGTCGCTAAAAATTCTGTTTCTTCAGTCATGTCAGCGCGCCTCAGACTGTTTACAAGCTACAGCTGTTCTGCTGGTGCGGGTAGGTAGCGAGTGGCTTACCATGCCAGTGACGTAGTCGAATGTTGAAATCCAACATGGTGGCGCCCGTGTAACAAAAACAACACTTTCAATGTACCATTTTATCCCTTTTAACAAATTCTGCCATTTTAAAAATTGTACCAATGATAATTAATAAAATACATCTGTTATGTCACCTTTTTTCAAATTTCAGTTCAGTTCATCTTTAAACTTGAAATAAATAAGATTTGACATTTATCTTGATAATTGTCAATATTGCCAACAAAACAAAAAAAGTGCCACTCTTGATATATCACATTATGGCATATCACATTCTCTCAAAATTGCATTGTTAGAATTCATATAAATAAAAAAGGTTACCATCCAACTGGTGAGTAAAAGTTTCATAAACTCACCAATCCACATGAACCCTAGTTTAACATATTAGGCCACATCACACAGTGATGCAGACTCTCTGGACTCAAGTGGATGGTCAATAATCAGCTAGCACAATGAAGATAAACATCAACAATATTACACAACCCCTAGTGAATAAGATGGAATATCGGGATTAAGGATGGAGCATCACACCTTTGCAAGATCCAGCAGAGAGGTGGGGGAATCCTACCACAGCTACATGAGCCTCATCAAGCACAACAGCAGCACCAGATTTCAGTTCTTCCTCCCCCAGAGGCAGATTAAGACGCAGGGAGCGAGGTAGAGCCTGGACACCTTCAGCTACTGTTGCTGAACTTCTGAGTGGCAACACGCTCTCATACAAGCTGCCATTCAAATCTGAAATAATGCAGAGTCATTGGGTTGCTATTAGTACAAAATTGTCTCTCTGGTAAGATGATAATAAATTAAGAGACTTACACAAGTACAACAGGTGTATGTTACAACCCCTGCATGTGGCAGAGAAACTGATAGGTGCAGAGAGACCAGGTTCAGTCTCAATTCTGTGTTTCACAAGGGTGTTGGGGTTAAATCTTTGAGCATAAAGCCAGTGCTCTCCTCTCTGAAACGAACACAAAACCTTAGAGTTGATTTACAGGTTCCCCTCACTATGCACAGATAGAACAAAAGATCAACAATGATTCAAAAAGACTTCAGAGAGAACCTGTTCTGTGTTGAACAAAACAACAAGCTGGTGCTCTGCCTTAACAACAGTACTCCATCTGTGAAAAAGAGAAAGAAATTTAATAAGGAAACTTGCACTTAATTTAAAATAAGTCTTTGCAGAAAATAGCATTGGACATCAAGTAGTGAGCTAATGCAGTTATCTGTTAGTATTAGCTTATAATTGAATATTAACTTAGTATTAGGGATGTCCCGATCCGATCACGTGATCGGAAATCGGGCCCGATCACGTGTTTTCAGACTCAATCGGAATCGGACGTTACCTCCCGATCAGGACTCGGATATACATGTATATTATATTCTTAGTATTTTTAAAACACATCAATAGTTATGCGGAGGAACAGAGTGCCCTGTGACGCAATGGCTGCGTGGCGGCATCTCAGCTGCGTGGCGTGTCCGTTTTTATTTCGGCTCCCATGTTAACAGGATAGAGCTTGCAGACTGCCTGAGTGACACGCAAGTCTCAGGCACGCTCGAGCCGCGCGGAAAACGCATGCATGCTAGAAATAGAAATGACGCCTATTTTTCACGCGACACACAAGCGTTGGAAGTGTTTCCAGGCAAATTAGAATAGGAAAAGATGTTTATATGTTGTTTTGTACACGAATACATATTAATAAATTAAATGTTGATGGTTGAAAGTCTAGGTTGACAAATTCTGATATAAATAGGCTATAATTCAAAAATAAATAAATAAATATAGCTGCAAGCAGCCATTACCGGGGCCAAGCACAATCAGACGACAAGACATGCCAACATTGCTGAAAATGTCAGACCAACTGCAACAATGAACAATTAAAGACATTTAAAGACAATTGTAGGCGAAATGGCTGAAAATCCATTAAATCATATTTTTATTTACAGTTTCTATGATTTATCACTTTCGACCAATAGGTGGCGCAGTTACAAAACTGATGTGGTCAGAGTGAAGTGACAATGACACATATAAAGTTTGGTGTCAATGTCAAGGTATTGCAGAGATAAAGCCTGAATAGTGCTTTTAGCATCATGCCTCAATTTTTCTGCTGCGCTATACGAAAACGGTTTAATCAATCGACACGAAAAATATTTTGAGTACCTTCAGGGGATGGTGTTGACACATTCTGAGTTTGTAATATTACACCAATGCATTTGTTTAGTATAGCATTTAAATCACAAAACTGTATTGAAGTCAATGGGAATTTCACGTTTTGTTCTATTATAGCACCCCCAAGAGGCTCAGTCCCACAATTTTTTTTATGCGTCCTCAGAGTGAGCCCATACATGTGTCAATTTTACTGAAAATCTCAATTCGCTTCAGAGTTATAGACATTTATATGAAAAAACACGTAAAAATGACCGACACATGACTTTGTTTGAATTTTACTACCCCTTACTATCAATATTTTCGCATTTGGGCATAGGCGTATAGCTATCGACCTATGTTTCCAATTTTCTGACAGTGGTTTCGTCTCGATCGAACAGCGGTTTCGAAGATATCGCCAAATGTTTTTTTTTTTCACGCTAAATTGCTACACTACACCAACCGTAAGACAAAACCCAGCATGTGTGGTATCGTTGGACTCGGCAACGAGTCAGGAACTCAAAAATATGACTCCCGTGAAAATAAGTTTACCAAACCCAAAGTTATAAGCATTTGGAAAAAAAATTCACACCTTGGTGGCGCTGTTTCGAAACTTCTCAGGCTCCTTCAGGGAATCGTACTGATGACCCATACAGAGTTTCGTAACAATTCGCTCATGCGTTCAAAAAATACAGCATTTTAGCACATAATTCAAAATGGCCGACAGCCAAAACGTCGACATGACGCCCTGAATCTAAGAAGACCATATTTATGATTTTTGAAAAAAACTGCTCAGAAGTTATGAGCAAAAATAGCCATTTCTCATATCTCCGGACCGGTAGGTGGCGCAGCGCCGAAAAACGAATCGGTTACCTAACGTAACCTCGGTTCTCTCTAGATGAGGGAACGAGTATTGCGTAAGCTAGCTTACGCTACGGGAAAGATTCATCTTTGCTGAGAAGTTGAAGCCAAAAAATTATTCGTAATCATTGTCAACGCAGTCTCTCTGAGGCAGACCATGAGCGGACTAGCTAACAGCTCATTGGTTTGCTCAGAGAGAATGCACGAACCTATGGGAGAGCGGCGCTGAGCCCGCGGCCAATGAGCGGACGGCGCTCGCTCATTGCGTCAGAGCCCGCCGAAAGGGGCGTGGCTACAGTGTATAAAAGTAGCTCTCCCAGACTCGTTCGTCGATTCTTCAGCATGAAGCGAAATGCTGGTGGCGCAAGCACGGCCGGGAACGCAATACTCGTTCCCTCATCTAGAGAGAACCGAGGTTACGTTAGGTAACCGATTCGTTCTCTTACGAGAGGTTCTCTCGTATTGCGTAAGCTAGCTTATGCTACGGGAACATCTGGTCAACACCGTGCGCGCTATGTAACCACTAAACATCCCAGGGGGAAAACACACCGGGGGAATCTTAAGTGGACGAAGAGAATAAGGCGGCCAGCATAGCGGCCGTTATCATCTAGTGCAAAACGCCCTAAAGGCGGCCGGCGTAGCGGGCCGTGAAAGTATAATGCATAAGCACATAGGGGAAACACAAGGGGCGAGCCGGTTGTAATAGAACTCCCAATAGTGCGGCTTCCTATAGGAGAGCTGTATAGTACTAGACCGCCAGAATTTTAGCCTGTAAGGCGGGAACTTCCAAGTTATAGAATCTGACAAAAGTGGAGGGGGAGGCCCATCCCGCAGCCACACAAATGTCGTGAATGGAAATTCCGCAGGACCATGCCCACGATGAGGCCATGCCTCTGGTGGAATGAGCCCTGATGCCCAGTGGGCAAGGCAGGTCTTTTGAGGCATAAGCAGAGGCAATCGCATCTACTATCCACCTGGATAGTGTCTGTTTCGAGGCGGCTAATCCCTTGGTGCGGCCACCGAACGACACAAACAGCTGCTCCGAGCGTCTGAACGCAGCAACCCGTGTAGTGTACACTCTGAGAGCCCGAACCAGGCAGAGGCGATCAGCGTCATGTTCGCTATCGGATGCAGGCAGCGCCGATAGAGAGATCACTTGCGCCCTGAAGGGGGTACCAACCGCTTTCGGAACATAACCGTGTCTAGGTTTCAGAATGACGATGGAGTCATTAGGTCCAAACTCAAGGCACGCGGCGCTTGAATGTCCCCCACACGTTTTACTGAGGCGAGTGCAGTCAGAAAAACGGTTTTTAGCGAGAGGTATTTTAGTTCCACGGACTCGAGTGGTTCAAACGGTGGGGCTTTTAAAGCTTCTAGGACTATAGAAAGATCCCAGACCGGCACCGTGGGGGGGCGAGGGGGGGGGTTCATCCTTCTGGCTCCCCTGAGGAAGCGGATGATTAGCTCGTCTTTGCCCAAAGACTGGGCGCGCCGGGGTTCAACGAACGCCGCGACGGCTGCCACGTAAACCTTTAGAGTGGATGGGGACCTGTCCTTATCCAGCATCTCCTGAAGGAACACGAGCAAAGACGAAACCTCGCACGTCCGTGGGTCCAAATTTTTGTCGGTGCACCATCTAGAGAACACAGACCATTTAGCAGCATAGAGCTTTCTGGTAGATTCCGCTCTGGCGTGTTTGATCGTGTTCAGAACCCCTTCTGGCAATTCGACGCGTAGTCGTTGGTCACCCATGCATGAAGCGCCCAGCGCTGTGGATGGGGATGCCAGATCGAGCCGCGGGCTTGAGTGAGGAGATCTGCTCTGATTGGAATGGGCCACGGGGCTGTCCGTGACAGCTGCGTAAGCTCCGGGAACCAAATCTGATTCTCCAGCGCGGGGCTATGAGGAGCACCGAGTGGCGTGAGTCCCTGATTCTCTGAATGACCTGCGGTAGCAGAGAAATCGGGGGAAAAGCATAGAGTTGGCGGCGGGGCCAATCCTGGGCTAACGCGTCCTCGCTCTTTGAAAAGAATATCGGGCAGTGAGCGTTCTCTTCTGACACGGAAAGATCTACCTCCGCTCTGCCGAATAGGCGCCACAGCGTTTGGACTGTATGAGTGTGCAGGGACCATTCTCCGGGGGAGACAAGGTTCCTGGACAGCATGTCTGGGCCGTCGTTCAGATGGCCCGGTACGTGCGTCGCTCTGAGCGAAAGCAGGTGACTCTGGGACCACAATAGGATGCGGCGCATCAGATGAAAGAGATTCTTGGATCTGACCCCGCCCTGACGGTTGATGTAAGATACCACGGCCGTATTGTCTGAGCGAATCAGGACGTGGTGACCGTGTATGCGCGGGAGGAAAAACAGCAGCGCGTTCTCGACCGCGATCATTTCCAGACACTTTATGTGTAGGGAACTCTCCTGGCTCGACCACTGGCCGGCGGCCGGTGAGCCCTCGCAGACCGCACCCCAACCCGAGTTGGATGCGTCTGTCGAGATGACTTTTCGGCGAGAAAAGGTTCCCATGGTAACGCCCTTCTGAAAACACTCGATTACTGACCATGGCTGCAGTGCAGAGATACATGTCTGAGTAATCTTAATAATCTGGCGGCCCGTAGTCCACTCGCGGTGGGATACGCGGCTCTTTAACCAGAGTTGAAGGGGGCGCATGTGCAGAAGACCCAGCTGTAGCACAGCGGAGGCTGAGGCCATATAACCCAGCCTCCTCTGAAAAGATTTCAGGGATGTGTGGGTACCCATCCGAAAAGAGGCGGCTAGACGCTGAACACGGCGAGCGCGCTGTGTGGATAAGCGAGCCGTCATTGTGATAGAGTTCAAATCTATTCCAAGGAATGAAATAGTTTGACTGGGCTGGAGAGAGCTCTTTGTCCAGTTGACAGAGAGTCCCAGCGCTTTCAGATGGTTTCCCGTCTGGGAATCTGCTAGAATCAGCCAGTCGTCCAGATAGTTTAGAATGCGCAGCCCCTGACTCCGCAGGGGAGCGAGCACTGTATCCATGCACTTCGTGAACGTACGGGGTGCTAAGGATAGGCCGAACGGGAGAACGGCATATTGGTAAACCTGACCCTCGAAGGCGAAACGTAGGAATGGCC